TTTGGACGTTTTCGTTTTGGATTCGGTTGGATGAGAGGATATCGCTAATGACGGCTAGGCCACAGCAGTCGAAGAATTCTTGTGTGTCTAGGCTGGGAAATATTAACGCCACTGTTAACTGTACTTCTAGGTTAATGACGCAAACCAGAAATCTCCAAAAAAAATAGAAAAGCTCTTCAACAGCTCAAAGTACCATGCTGTTGTTGGTTCGATGGACTTAGAAAACAGCATTTCTGGTATGCGTTCGACCATACGGGCCACAGCTTCTTGAGGCCTCATGTGCCCCAGAAGGTCCCATACAATCGGAAATGTGAAGAGTGGAGACTTCAACAACCACATTACGTGTTTGGATGTAATCTTTACAAATTATGCGTTGCGTATCATTAGTAGTCAACTGGCAGCAGAAACAAAAGAAGTGCCTTCTGAAATAATGAGAAGTGTACAGTTGTGGTATTCATTCGATACACAGCTGCCTTACAGCATGAGCTGGCACGAGATATGATATACTGACAAGCTGCCTGGATGCAGAACACAGAAGCCAAGAATCTACGGTTCAGTTTGGATCATGAACCTTCTAGTCGCTGCATTCGAGCCTCACATTGAGCCATCCCTAGTAAAGGCAGCATACACATAAGTTAGTTTACACAGGACAGATCAGGTGAAGTTTGTACTAGGGTATTGTACTGGTGACTCCCACACTGTTGCATCAACCGTGGCGTAGTAATGTAAGCAAACATATGTGAAGGTGATGGGTCCAAAATTATCAAAGCTACCTAGTTGCTGGCCACACCATGCGAGGGCTTACCTTGCACATGGCAAATCGTACTTGAAAATCAGATAAGAAGGATAGCCTCATCAAGTTTTTATTCTATTAAGCCTTCAAGGCGATATGCGGGCTCAAGTGGGATACGTTTTGCCTTGTCGTTTTGGATGCCCAGCGTACTCGCTAAAGCACAGTTTTCGCAAAGAGAAAACCCATCACCATGAAAACCTAATTGGATTTTGTTACAACGGCGATCCACTCAACCGGTGATTCATTACCTCAAAGGTCGTTTGACATTTCTTTTCAAGACTAGACATGAACGAACAACATTCCAGCATGTTAGGAGGCAGGACAGACACGAGGATGGACATGAGCAACCCCCACTTCACTTCTTACTCACGAAGTCCGATGCAGATAGGTGCGCCAAATTTTGCGCGTGTATTTTCCATGAAAGCACAAGGTTAGACTAATTCATCACTCCTGACAAATGCCTTAGAGATGACCACATTATACAAAAACGTCTTACGTGGGCATTACGTTTGCAATGCCCAAGCTGAGGGTCCAGAAGCTTTCACATGTGTCTGGAACCAGTATTAGGTAGGGGCATAATGGGTGTTGTAACCTATGGAGATGTTTGTAGGAAGTTGTCAACCCTGTAGAAATCTTTTGTCTAGAATATTTTGAAGCTCTCGGTATCCGGATACGGTCTTCGAATTCACTGTGTGTAAACAAAGATTCCCATAACCAGCAAAGCCATTAAGAAGCCGATTATTTTTCGTTTTGTTAGTTGAACTCAAAGCAGACAATACAACCTCAGGGATCTGAAGATCTGCTGCGGATCTTGTTCCAGCAAGACTTTCTGGATTTCTGTGGACACTTACTTATTGTGCGTTTGTCAGGTCCTACCCACACACCTTGTTCCTGCTCCAAGAAGAGCTGTGTCTAACCTCCAACTAGACGGACCCATTTAGAAGCTGCACCCTCATAGTGAAACTAAGCATCATAAACGTACGATTCTAAACTGACCCGCTGTGTGCAACGTAGAAACCCTGACCTAGTACCTCACACAATCTTATGGGTCATATTAGTTCAACTCTTCTGGAACCTCGCCGTCACCTGTACGATCGTCTCCTGCTATCGTTCAGTCTAGTACTTCGTGTGGCTCGCAACCATCCTATTCGTATCAGTGCGTTTTGGCACCGCTCCTTAATGAGTACGACCTAATTCATTGAGCCCAACAAATCAGACGAAGGAATGTGCGTAGATCACATTTTTACCGATGTCCACTGGTTATGTGTAAGTCCCTTAACATTCTTGAATTGTGATTGTATACATCCTATTCCGCTTGTTTCGTTACAATGGATAGCGATATGCCAACACACATTATCCAGTAAATGTGCACCGTAGATCGCGGTTTCAGTGATCCCCTGACCGTTTACTTTCTGTTGTAAACAGGTTTTGCTTTTGGACTGTTTATCCATGTCATCGTTATATGAATTGACGTATGCGATTTGGTTTCGATTCTGTGCCCGTTGCTTCACCGTTGACTGCACAGATTCTCCTGCCTTCGGTTCCTGTCTTCTACCATTT